TTTTAGCCAAATGTATTATAAAATAACAACTTGTATTATAAAGAAAAGCTAAAGTATTTAAACTAAATATAAAATGCTAATTTATAGTATTGGCAAGACTAAAATTTGAAAGTTAAAAAATAAAAAAATAAAAAAACTATTACCTTCTACTATCATAATTTACTGTGGATAGCCATGGATTATATAAATTTGAAAATCGATGTGAATTATGAGATGATGCAGCTTAATTTATCAATTTTAAATTGTAATTATAACTTCACTCAATAGCTTTCTTTTATCTAAACTTACTAAGTTTATCTTTAAAATTCATGAAAGAAGCCTTTACGTGCTATGCGAATTCATTTGCCATGTTGATTTTTCTGCAAACATCAGCAACATATATATGCAGAGTCAGATATAGGAGGTGCTCAGTATGCAACTGTACCCTCTTCCTGAGTAAAACCTGGTACTTTACATAAAAAATTTTTAAGGCATATTGTTTCTTTTCTGCATCTTCTCAAGATTTCTAGATCTGCTATTATGTATGTGTATGCCTCACCTTTATTTTTTTTTCCATTTTCTGTATGTTAATCCTTGTTTTAATTGATATTATTGTACTTAAACTTGTATTAAACTTGTGTATTGAATACTGACTGATAAAAGGGAAAATTACTGGAGATTTTAAGACTAAAGATTACTGGAGACACTTGGAGAACTATTTAGGATTCAATTGTTAGTTTTTTAATGTGTATTAATTCTCTACAATGAATAAGTGCTGAACTAGTGAGTCTCAACTCTTTCATTGGCTATTGTATATTCTATTTTCAGTTTTCTTAGTAAAATTAACAATAGTGATAATAATAGAATAATGACTTTATTTATTGCTTATTTTCCCTATATCTGGTAATGTAATCTTTCTGCCAAGACATATTAACTACATATTTAAGATAATGAAGTTGAGGTGTGCAACAAATAGATACAATATCTATTGCTTTCATATTTTAATTTATTATTAGGACATTTAATTGTGTTATTTTTACATTAAATTATGTTTACTATTTTAAGTTTATCAAAATAGATATGTTTTTGGATTTGGAAAACCATGGAAACCTATTTTCCATGGTTTCTAATGGGAAAAATTGATTCTGACTTTGAACAATTCAAATTGAAACAGTCTCCTGGAATGAATTAGATTTGAAGTACAAGGTATCATTGTATATCTTATTTTTATTTCCTCTCTTACAATAGAGTTGTTATTTATCTATTTATTTTAATCACACTTAGGCTGTTAACAATGGTTAGTGATTAACACCAGTTAATATTTTCAGTATAATCTTTACCAATTTGCTTTACCATGGTTAGGAATACTACCAGAGTTCAGTTAAGTTCACTGGTTTTAGAAACATGTACTATAGTTATATTACAATGTGATTCCTGAATTTGTGACACATTTTTAATGACAATTGTAAAAAACAACTTGAAGTTAATAAGCAGTTAAAACTCACTGTGTTCAGCGTTATTAATTGTTTTTTCATTCGAATGCTTTCGACAAATGTATTCCCGTCGTCTTCAGGCGAATAAGATATTTTAAATCGAACATGAACGTTCGAGAGAAGAACACATACAAATTTAAATAAAACTGTTTTTTTTTTTACGACATTCGATATGAATCCGCTACTATTTTGAAATATGTGCGATGTTACGAATGCGATGTAATACAGCACATGCGTGGTACTGCTTCTGTCAGTGATGTAACATATAATGTAAATCACCGTTTAATCGTTTGTATAGGGCGATCCATATATTGGGCAGTTCCAGAGTAGGTGCATTGCACGTTTCCAACGTTGTTATATATAGCGACTCCCATATAGAGTAGTCTTCGGTCGTTGCATGTCCTGAGTATAGTAGAGTGGGCCCAATTGTGACAATTTAAAAAATATTTTGAAGTAATAAAATCATAGATTTAATATTAAAATCAGAAAGTATTAATAAAAATAAAACAGTATAATAATTCATCTTTGTTGTAATTGCAATAATTAAGAAATTGGTGAAAGCTAAGAAAATTGTTATTAAAATGTTTTCCCTTTAGCTACTATATTTTTTATTTGCTTCTTTTAGTTACAAATCATAGATATTAATAAGAAAGATAATTTTTTAAAGATTATTTTAGTTATTTAGTAAGGTATCTCAGAAATTTTTAAAATATCTCATGATTGTGTTATCTGAAAATGATTGTTCTATAAATTCTCTGCAATTTTATCAGTTATCATTCTATAACAATGTGTACAATAATACAGTAGAGCATCGATTTTCCGAAAGTCAATCATCCGAAACGTCAATCTTCCGAAAGAATTCCAGTCGGCAAATTTAAATTTTCACCAGTGCTGTGGCGCTTCAATCTTTGGCTATGTCTTGGGCTACTCAAATATTTTACGTTTTTGATACTAAATTAACATCTGAAGTATAATTTTTTATTATTTTTATATTTTTCAATATATTTATTTTGTTTGTACAAAATAAAAAAATAATTTTTAACGATACAATAGTCTTTGTTAGGCTTAACATTGACGAAAATTCAACGCAAAGCGACACGCACGGAGAAAATTTCGAAATCGGATATGTTAAACTATTTTTTCGTACATAAATCAGTTATCCGAAATATCAGTTATCCGGACAACCCCAGTCCTCAATTGATTCGGAAAATCGATGCTCTACTGTAGTATTAACTTTTGCGTAGTTACATGTAGCATATTTGCAAACACTTCATTTTCTAATTAATATACTTTTTGACATTATTATTTCACATATAAACAGTTTTATATTTGAGTTTTAAGGTGTAAAATATTATTGCTAATGCAATAATTTATTTATTTATTTTGCATACTGGATACAATCCTTAATGTGGGGAGCAATACCTACTCCCGAAAACAAAACAGTTAAATACAAAGATTATAAAAACACAGACAAAAATATACAATAATAAATTATAAGTTAAGATTCAAAGTTAAAATGTAATATTTAAAGTTTAACGCTTGGGAGCATAACATTTTACAGCTAAACTTCTTTCAATTAATTTATGAGCCGTTTTTTAAAGTGGTATAAGTCCACTTTTGAAAAAAAATAAGTTGATATATAAAAAGAGAACATCTATGCTTCACTAAAACTTTCATCAGAAGGTTTTAGGCTGCGTACACATTAGGCATTTTTAGACGCGCGTTTTTTAATGTGCGTTTGTACACATTAGGCGTTTTCTGTTACATTAAATGTGCGTTAGTTTGGCGTTAGCACTGGCTCAGTTTGGAAATGGACATGAAAGTAATTGCTTGCATGTGCCTCCTCCATCGTCGCTATAAAAGACGATGGCAGAGGCAAAGAGAATTTTGGGTGCACCCAATATTACGAGATAGACTGACACATGGAATGTTTGCGACATTGTATCCAAAACTAAGACAAAATAAACCCAAGTTTTTTAATTCCTTTAAAATATCTATAAAATCCTTTGACAATGGTTGGTCTCTTTTAGATTTCATCAATAAACAGATCAGTATCGAAATGATCGTTCTCCATTTTGGCAACGTATGTCCACTATACCAGAAAACACATGATCGAATGTACAGTAACATGGCAGCACATATATCTCAAAGCACCCATAAAACACCCGCAAAACGCGCGTTTTAAGCAAAATCTATAAACGTGCATTTAACGCATGCTTGGCCAAAAGCACGCATTTGAGTGTGTACGCCTATGCAGAACTCTTGGTTTGTCAAATGTTCGTCAAACTAGTGTGTACGCAGCCTTAGTGAGGCATAGATGTTCTCTTTTTATATTTGTAATAACAAAGTTAGTGGTGTACAGTATCCTTATAAATTAATCGAAAGAAGTTTAGCTGTAAAATGTTATCACAAGAATTTTTTTTGAAAGTAGAATAATTTTGTTCATAACAATCTATAATTGAAATAAATTTCCTTATGGTCTTTATAACAGATAATAGCTAATATCTTAAGAACACAATATCAAACAAGATAGCATAATATTATATATACAGTATATATATAAAATTAATAGGAATATTAAACAAAAACATACAACAAACTGACTTGTAGTGTTATTTTAATAATAATTAAAACACAGAAGCTTTACAAATATAAATGCAAGCAGTTCCAATAAAATAACTTATTGTCATCAGGCAATAGAACATAATAACATCACTTTGAAATTAAACTAATGGAATATTTCAATTTAAATAAAATGGGAAGGGGAAGGAAAGGTAACATCTAATTCAACATTTTAATCACTGAAATTCAATGCTCTGGTAGGTTTAGAATAGCTTGGCTACACAGGTCAGATGTTATATGTATTGTTTCCCACATATAAACTACAGTAGAATCAGAAAATGGATGCCATAAATGAACATTTGAAAGTAATTTCTGCAGGGCTGTGGAGTTGGTAAAAAAACACTTTGACTCTGACTCTGACTCCTGATAATTTTAGTAGGCTGACTCTGACTCCCGACTCCAGCAAAATTAAATACCAAGTCATTTTATGGAGGGCGGAGGTACCCATATATAGGAGGTACCCTTCTCTGAACTCTGAAAGGAGCCTAGGGGGTTTACCCAAATACTTTTATAATTAGTAATTTTAATATTTAACTTACATTAATATTTATTTGTATAAAAAGTTAATTTTTAGCAAATATTTAATAAGAGGAGAAAGGGAGGTGGTAAAATTCTACATCTACATATCTTTATTCTACAGCATTTGCACTTCAATTTCACCCTTCCAGAAAAGTTTGTCCAACTAAAAAGTGTGTGATCTAGCTACTTCAACCCTTTGTTCAGAAAAGAAAAATATATACTCTGAACAATTAGTCTGTCTCATTCAGAAAAATAGAGTACTTATTTAGAGCAGGGATTTTGTTATAATTCATTTAAAATAAATGAATNTATATAAATATATTATAAAAATAAATTTTTATTTATTTGTAATAAATACTTATTGTTTTATATATTATTTTTAAATAGGTGTTCAGTATGTGATATTTCATTGACAAATTGGTATTTTGAGAAAGATGGGCTCCTCTTCTGTAAAAATGATTATTGGACAAAGTATGGTGAAGCTTGCCAAGATTGTAGTGAAATTATTACAGGACCAGTAATGGTAAATATAAAATGATGTATAAATAAAGATACAATAAGATACAATTAAAAACTTTATTATATTTTATGAGTTCATATTTTCTTACTAACAAAATTTTTCTGTTATTCATATGTTTGTTTGTTTGTGTCAGCATTGCATCTGTTTGAGGCTTTTGTAGCCACATTTGTATTTGGGTTTGAGTGTCATTGAATTTCTTCTTTTCTCTCACCTTTTTAGGAAAATTATCTTTCTATTTATTTATTTATGTACTTTCCTATGAACGTCCTCCATTGTAATTTTTAGAGCTAGCCCATAAATTTCTTTTGAATGATCATTCATGATAGCAATTACATTTAATTTCATGTTCAGTTACTTTTATTTTGGAAATAGTACGTTAATAAAATAATTATTATGAATATCTGATATAAACAATGATGTGCATCCAAATTTTGTAATTGACAGAGATGTTATTGAGAATAAGTTGTGATTTATTCCTTGTTTTTTATATGTTGTCTGTTCTTAATCTTGAGAATGGAGTTAGATAGATGAAAACCAAGACCAGATATGGAAAGCTTAGGGGCAGGAGGCCCCGATTAAATTTATATGAACTTTCAGTGCAAACCAGAAGTCATGTTATTTCTATTTAAAAGTTTTCCCCTGAAAGGAGTTAGATGACTGGCATGACTCTCTTGCTAACAGGAAAAGTATTATGCACAGGGGCAAGACACTACTAATTTGAGAGCATATATTTTAAATTATTTATTTATTATTATTATAAAATAAACGTAAAAATATATGATTATTTTTTATTTTTTCATTCCTCACATTCTGAAAGTTGACTGTAAGTGATTTTGGAGACTAAAAGAAGTACTTAATGTATTATACTTATACTTATACACATTCTATTATGCAACCGATGATTGAAAATATGCTGAATTTTAAAAAAATAAGTGAATAAAGCCATTTACAGACTTTTTGGAAATACTCAAAAGTACTCTCATTTATTGCAAAAATATAAACAAATACAGTATTTTACTGCATTATAATGATGTTTTTAAATTTCAAAGCATATCTTTATAAAGCCTACAAGACTAAGTCTAATTACTGTTTTACATATATCAGATAATTTAAAAGATTAAAAATTGCAGCCTGACATTGTGATGATGTCATAATAAATAATCACTTGTTTTATTGTAAATTTTTATCTTCAGTTTTTAAAACAAATTTCTTGCTATATATTATTATTTTCCAAGCTGTGTTATAAATGTAATGTTTGTGGTACAGGGTGACAAATAGTATGTCAAAGAGTAAAGTACTATAACTTTTTGATGAACAGATTTTAATCAATTCAAAAGCATGTTAGTTAGTATCAAATTTATTTTAATGGCAGATATTTTTTTGTTGCTCAGACACATTGAAGTGTGACAAATTTAAACACTTGGCGTTCTTTCATCTTTATTTAGTTGAAATAAATAAAGATGAAAGAATGCCAAGTGTTTAAATTGTGTTTTTTTGCAAGCTCTTGGTGTATTATATTTGCTACTTGATTGTGTATATGTAAGTAATCTGTTTGTGCCAAGAGCTTGCAACTAGAAGTGATGTTCTGTATAGTTTCTGGCATGATGTGACATTTTCTGCGTGTGTCATTTGTGAGTGATATATCTTTGAGTATGTGTTTTCTGTGGTTTTTAGTATTTATGACCTGATCCTGTATGGCAATCATGAATTCTTCCGTCTCCCCAAAGAGGCATCCTCGATCTAACCAGCTGTTTGATGCAGTTTTGTCAACAAAATCCAGGGCCAGGTCATAAGGATGTTTGCCATGGAGTGCCTTTTGAATCCACGATTGCTTGATGGTGTCTATGCTTTTTATATGTTGTGTCATGTCTGTATGTTGTGAGTGTAAGTTTAATGGTGTGTTATTTGAGTCTGCTAGAGTTACTGCTTTATGTAACTG